GCTGTACAGAAATTACCGTATAGACAGAAGTAGAAACTCGCGCGCAATCGGGGGGACGTCGAGGCATAAAGTCAAGGGAGAAGCCCATAGAGAGTTGTAAAGCTGCTCCTGCTGCGAGCTCATGGACAGCTAATACTCACGATCTCCGGCTCTGCAAGTTTCGGAAGGGAATGATTCAGATTCCTCTTGGCACAGCTACTAGAAGATTAACGTCTGTCAGACAGGTTGCTCACGTCATCAAGCTTAGTTTGAGTCGGTTTGAGTCTGCGCGTCAGGAACAGAAGTGCTCAAAAATCGCTAAAAATGGGCTTCAACTGTCTCAACTGAGTTCCAATGAGATGGCTCTGTCCATTTCTTTTACTGTCTATGATTGGGTCTGGCGTTAGCCAGGCTGCGAATTTTTTTTTTGCAGGGTTGTAGGGGAAGAATCATTAATATTCATTGGGGAACTCATCCGCAATTGGTTCGCTGTCACACGTCACTCAGATTGACATGGCAGGTCAAGACGGTGTCCCCGCAAAGATACAGAAGTTCGCGAAGTTCGTGAGCGGTCTCCGCACAAATCTCCCGGATTTGGATAACCAAATGTTGACAGGTATGACTTACCTTCGTGAAAGTGTCTGTTGTCACGAAGGAGACGATGTCTGTTTTCTCTATCACATCTCATTAGAGATGCGTCACCTGCAAAAAAAAAAATCGCAGCCAGGCTAGGTTGCTCACGTGACAGGCTCAGTTTGAGCCTGCGCAGTACGCCTGGCGATCAGCTTTTAACGGGCTTCAATTTTCTCAGTTGAAATCAATGGGGTCGCTGTGTCCATTTCTTTTACCGTCTATGGGTTGCACAGATGTGTCCTCAGAGACTCCCGCTGCCATTCTCTCTCAAAAATATAAGGTGTGTTCGACATCGGCTGTGGCTGGATGTAAGCGATCGGCGAGAGTAGCCGCGTGCAGGCGGGGAGGAGCTGCAAATGGAGACGTGAAGTCGGACACTTTCTGGTTCCCGTAGTGACAGCTCACGTGGTGTTTGTATACTTTACCACAGCTGAAGTGAAATAAATTCAATATTTGCCAAATGCACAGATGTTTCAGACACACTTTCATTCAATACTTTATGTACTGCTTCATACTGCATCTGTTTGAACAAGAATAAAGTTCAAAATAGCCACTATCAATGAAGTGCAGTCGACGTTTTTTAATCACTTTTATTTTGATAAACATAACACAATATAGCCTAACATCACGACTACATGAAAAGAGTGTTTACTGTTATAAAAAACTGATTTGTGAGCTTTGGTGGAACTAAAGGTGTGAGAATAAACACGAAACGCACGTGATCGTTGTCATGCGGTGAATCCGGCCAATCGTGGAACAGCTGTGTCGTCATCAGAGCTCGTGCAGCCCAGAGCAGCCGCTCTTCAGAAGCTGCGCTGGCTGAGTTCTCCGGCTACTCTCGAATCGCTCTCGCGGTATTTTGATGGCATACGTCACAGTCACGTGGCGTCGGCGCTGTATCAAGTCGGACAACATTTCTAACCGGCATGCACTGCTTCAAGTCAGCCGCCGATCGGTCTGCGCAGAGCTGCATGAAGTCGAACAAGAGGGTATGCGCATGACGTCACCGTCGGCCGGAGTGAATGCGGTCACGCCCACAAGTGGCAAAAAGACTGAGCGGCAGCATTTGTTTTCAGCGTGAATGCCGTGAAAAACACACAAAACACATCTAAAACGGGAAAGAGCTTTGCGATTGACTGTACAACTAGATTTGACCAGAAATCTGAGGTACTGTATATTTTTACAGACTGCAAAAAGCTACAGAACAGACTATATTCTGCATAATTGGATGTTTTTAAATAAACACTGACAAAAAACTATACAAGTTTTAGGGCTGGACGATATGATGATATACAGTATAACATTAATGTAAGTGATCACTCGGATTTAGACCTATCTATATTGTATTTATATAAAACGTTTACAGGCAAATTTTCTTAATTTATTTCCCCAGCGTCGAAATCAGGCACATATAAATGTCAGGAAACACGATTCCTGGCTGCATGTCAATATCCATGGATCACTGGATCTTTGATAAGATGTAAGGAACACTATATCGAGTCCAACTTTTAGTTTAAACTGATTTTTACTCGCTTTTTCGCAGTTTCCCCTATTAGCTCCAGTCACGAAGAAGCTCTTTTGCCACTCAGTCCGGCTGAGGGGGGCGTGTTCCGGCGGGAAAGTGACGTTAATGCATTCCCTCTATACCCTCAACTGTTGTCAAGGCAACACTCCACGTGCGTTGTGTAAAAACGCCCCAGAACAGAGGGGCGGAGTGAGCGAAGCTCATTATCATTTAAAGGCATATGCACTGAAACGGCGTGCTGAAAACAGCTGTTTTTGACCAGGTAAAATGAGTGTTTTTTTTAAATACTAATGAGAATTTTTAATAAAAGTTTATTACAAAGTTTTCATTTAGACCCTAAACATTCATATTAAGTTGTACAAAAATGGCATTATATGACCCCTTTAAAAACGCAGATACGCTAGCCTTCGGGAAAAGCAGCTTTGGTGGACACTTTGGCGGCCTAAATAGTTTATCCATGTATGTCATTTTTATTGTGTCCTCGTAATCTTTAATCAAAATAACTTCCCATCCCTCTTACAGTGCCATCTCATCTGTTCTCTGATGATGCGTTTACTGGCTCGAGGGCGGGACAACCTGTCACTCACATGAGATCCACCAATAGCCAACCACAACCATCCAACAATCCAATCAATTCCCGATAGACAAAATCAAGTCCCGCCCTACATTTATTCTTCTTCGAGAAGCCGTTTCACTCAGATATAGGTCACAACAGGAAAGACAAGACTATAAAAACATCCATTTTTCATGCCGACTTTAAATGCCAGACATGGTTTCAAAGAGAAAAGCAGAAATATAAATAAAAAGGCAAATGTTAACTTAATATGAATAATAGTTAATAATTTCTCTTTAAATTTTGCTTAATCTTTTTTTCTTGTTCTTTTTTTCTGTTTTGTTTTTGTATGCAAAATCTTATGATTTTTAAATGCCACATATATGGAGTTATGAATGCCCAGTCTTTATGACAAGTTTTTATTATTCTGTGCAACTTTTATTCCCCACATTTTATGTCTTAAATTTCATTCTGTTCCTCACACAAAGACTTCTTTGGCTAAACATCTCTCTATGTGTTCCACTGATGAAGGAAAGTAATGACAGAATTATCATGTTTTGAGTGAACTGTCCCTTTAGTTAAAGCTGGAACACAATCCTCGCACAATACAAAATTATTAGCAGTGAATTCAAGATCAGTAGCCTACACTTCCTCTAAACATCAACACTATAATAGTGTAAGTATCTAATTTCACAGATGAGATATCTTACTTTATATTATACTGTCTGGAAACATAGTTAGCACATTAGCATTAAACGCCTGCCAGCCTCGGGCAATTCCACGAACAGAGCGAATAGATAAATGTTTCAGAGGGATCTCTGTGGGACTTCTCCAAATGCACAGAGAAAGATTCTATCTAATATGAAATGGAGATTTTAATATACTTTAAAGACACCCTGTATAGCAAATAAAAGTGTAGTTTTGTCTCATTATTGCAGGGTAGAATTGGTCTGTGTGCTCGGGGCAAGATGGATCACCAGTGGGCTTATTACCATTATTAGCACATTTAGTGCTAGTCCCTGTTGCCAACCTTGCTGATTGTAGGAAAACATCTCCCTAATAACCTTAACGAGAATAACGCCCCGGGATGCGCCATGTCCTCCTCAGAGAGAGGGTATAATGTGCTGCGGGACACACATCCGCTATCCCTCCCAAAGTCACTCCTGTCTCGCTGGCTCTGGTTTCTTTGCTGTGGGGCAGTAATCTCCTGTCTGCTCCACTTTACCATACCAGGAGAATTACACCCACAAGGAACTGAGCCACAAATTGTCCAGACGGATGGAGCGTAAAATTGATAAGAATATTAAATTTGCCATTGACAATGGTGTCTATAACTTGCACTAAGTCCACTGGAGTGATGGATACTCCAGAAGAATAAGGGTTTGGTAACACGTTACAATAGGGTCTCATTTGTTAATGTTTAGCTTAATGTATTAATGAACATGAACTAACACTGAACAATACATTACAGTATATTATTCATCTTTGTTAATGCTATAGTTAATAAAAGTACAGTTGTTCATTGTTCATGTTAGTTTACAGTGCATTAACTATTGTTAACAAATACAACTTTTGATTTTAATAATGTATTGGTAAATGTTGAGATTAGCATTAGGCTAACTAAGATTAATGAATGCTGTAGTACTGCTCATTATTTTTCATGTTAACTAATGAAACATTATTGTAAAGTATTACTGGTTTGTTTATATTGCAATGACAACAATTTTAGTGCTTTGTTAACCTATACATGTATTGGAATGAATTGGGGGATATATTGTCAAGTATATAGTCAAGCAGCTAGCTGACATGTTGATCTTTTGTTTATTTTTTATTTATTTAAAAAAACACCATAATGATTCTTTACTTATTTACATAGGCTATAGGTGGCCACAATTTCAAATAATTTAAACAACCCAGAATTTAATCACATTTTGCCATTTTAAATTGTCTTGCGGTCGGTGTGACGAATTCATTTTTTAGAGTACAAAAACTCAATTACTAGTTCATAAAAACTGTATGTAACATAATTATAGAAGAATTGAAGAAGAAAAAAGTGGTATTAAATGAATATGTTACACCTCAGGACACAGGAAGCAGAAACTGCTTGAAATTTCTTGTCAATCACCCATGTGCAGTTTGAGTTTGCCTATTGCTAAAAGTGACAGAATCTCATTTCCATCAAGTGAAGACGGATGCGTTCAGCAGGTCTGAGTATTTTGAGGAGTGAGACACTGACCCCTACAGGACGCGTGAAGAACTGCACCTCTAACCCGCCGCCCGTGACGTCACGCCCCGCATGGCTCAATGGGATCATGTGCTGGAAAGTCAGTTGTACTGACAAACAAGGAATTCGGGACCTTTGAGTAGATCGATACTCTGTTGAGGCAGTTAGGCAGAGAAACTAGTTTTACATTGAATTAAAGAGATAAAACACAGTCTAAGTTAAGTCATCATGGCATCTCTGTTTAAAAAGAAGACAGTCGACGGTAAGTCACTTTGTTAACTGTTTTATTATAGATTTTCAGGGTCATATCCCTCTTATAATTTACACCTGTTTCCCTGCTGCATCTTTTGAAACTTTTATCAGCTTGTTGTTATCAACATATAACCAGTTTTTATGTTGTTTACGTAGCGAAGTCACAATTAAAAGTAAGAATTTGCTACATAACGATGTTTTGGTTGTTAACCACTGTGTGTGAATGGACAAAGGCTATATTATTTAGTGTTTCATTTAAATTAATGACACAATTGGTATCATGTTTTTCTGTCCGTGCTCTGTTATGTCGTTTATTTACATAAAAGTAGGCTAATCATAAAAGTAATGTTTTGCCACTGTACTAAAAGTGAAAACTACTTTATTTCTTTGTAAAAATTACAAAAGAACACAGCCAGCCATTAAGATGTGTCTTGTCAGTGTCCTTTATTTACGGGTCCTCTTTAGGGTCTTTTACATTGAAACAGTTGTTGCAAGCAATTTGTTTATGAAGACAATCTGCATTATTGATGTTTATTGCATCCCCACTAAAACAGACATGCACTCAATGGACAGTGCAGATCTGAAATCTGAATTTGGCACTGGTTACATTAACTGGTGTGTTGCCTCAACTGAGCACTGTATCATTGAAACACATCCATCTGAACCTGTGCATGTGTCTAAAAAAATAACAATAGAAGCTTTCTTCATTCAAACAAGTCATGAAGTTGAGTTTGTCTGTACTGACCTTTTCATTTTAAACAGGTTTTTTTAAATCCTGCATTCATCTCAACATCCTAATTTGAGATTTTTTTTTTTTGCCTTAATCAGCTATTACAGGATAACTTTATTCAAACTCATACATGTGATATACAGTCTATATAAAACATGACTGATATTTATCAGTAAAGCACAAGAGTAGGTGGTAAACTGAGAATCAATCACAGTCTTTACTCACATTGTGATGCTTTTTCCATGGTCAAGTTGAATTCCCATCATTTCCGAAGCGCTGTCCTTGTGACCTTGGTGCCAAGGTGAGTCGAGAGTCACCGTGCCAAAGTATCCTGTCAGATGGCAGAGCTGCTTTAGCTCGCCGAGTTTTGTGGACGATAACCCTCCCTCAATAGTACGTTTTCGATACGTCATCTTTCGCGTAGACTTCTACGTGTACACAAACTCTCTCATCAAGGTTAGGGATGGGCAAGTAACAAAATTATAATGATAATTAAGTCAAAAAATTATATTCACAACCTCTTTGTAACTTTTCTTGTACTTTTCCTACTTTTGCACAATATTAATAAAGTTTTATTTCACTTTATTCATTTATTAGTTCTCTCCAGATTTATAATTTTAAAATGTAAAATATATAACTAACTTAATTTGTTTTTTTCTTTTTAGTTATACTCTCTTTTTAAATATTTTTATGTTCATTTACAATTTTGAAATAATTGTAAATATTTAACTAACTTTTTTTTTTCTTTTTAGTCATATTCAAAAAAATTATATTTTTTGTATATTAGAAATTGATTTTTTTTTTTAATGTTATATTTAGCTAATTTAACTTGATTTTTTCTTTTTAGTTATACTCTCATTTTTAATATTTTATGTTTATGGAACTTTTAACTAACATGTTTTTTCTTTTTAGTCATATTCTCATTCTTAATATTTTTTTTATATGTATTGCTTTCTAATTACTTTTTCGACCTTTTTGCATATTGTTCCTTTTTTCTGCATCCTACTTTATTTTTTATTATTTTTTTTTACTTTTCCCATAATTCATTTACTTGTTGACTACTATACCATATCTTTTCGCTTCTGAATTTAAATTTCACATTTTTTAAATATAGTTAACGCTAGGGAATGGAGGCTCACAAGACTCCACTCTTTACTGCCTTTTTTGTAACAACAAAAAAACATTATGTAACCATTTTCCTGCTAAACCACCATCTGTGGCTTCTAATATTGGCCATTTAACCTCATGGGATGTTATTGTATGATTGGCTTTCATGAGGGCACATGGTGAGCTGATTGCTGTGAGTGTGTGTGTGTGTGTAGGAGAGCGTATCTTCCCTATAGGCGTTGTGGCTGCACACTCTGGCATCTAGAGGAGGAACCTGATGTTCAGTGCATATGTTTAGCTTGTCCCTTAAATGCATGAACACATGAAGGGCATGATTCTGCTGGCCTTGTATTCAAACTAATTATTTTTATTTTATTTTTCCCCCAGCCTCATTAGAGCATATTTCATTTGCTGCAATATTCAGATCCAAAAGAGGCTGTTTTTATTCAATCTCTGATGAATTTAGAGTCAAGAAATGATTTTTCAGCTTTTTGTCCTTGTCTATTTAAGTGCTCTTGTGTGTATGTATTATCTAGCAATTATTTAAGGTGCCTGATCTGATTTTTTTTTTTTTGCTTCAACCAGAGCATACTAGTTTTTCTTAACCACAAATACTGGCCATTCAACAACAACAACAAAGCTTAAATATGAGTAGAAATATTGCTAATTAATATTGCTATTGGTTAATATTGCTAATAACCAATGATATTTATTGTGCGCATATTGTGAAAGGACTATTAGGGCTTCCGTGTTCAGGATTTTTGATTTTTGTAACGAATAATTAGAAAGTCAATCTTTTACCTGAGATGTCGTTGCCATAATGCGTTTCTATGTGTTGCTTTTCGTTTCATTGCTGCGAGCTTCATGGTTTCTAAGTCCACTTTTCTTTTTGTTGCAATTGTACTGCTTATTGTACATAAAATTTAAGAAGTTTATATCAGTAGTCCCTTATTCATAATTGTGTCTGTTTACAACGTCTACCATGTCTTTACACTCAATAAAAAAAAAAAAAAGATTTATCTATTTGAATTGCATATCAAATTTCCATCCATTTGGATTACATAGTTTTAACATAAACCAATTAATAATCTGAATGTGATTAATATTTTTCAGTCATATATAAATGAAACAGATAAGATTTATATAATTGTATTAATAAACTGAATGTGATTCATATTTGTCAGTCATACGTAAAGGAAACCAGTACGATTTTTGTAATAGTACTCAGAAAAACACCCATGTTAAATTACCACTGCTCAGTGTTCATATGTGTGCACACTACATAGTTAAAGTACCATTGAAGCAGTGTTGAAATTAATGAGAAAATTAAGTGGTGATTTAGCATTAATTATGAACACCTACTGTTAACAAGCAGAATCACTGAAGGAAAGAGAAACGCAAGAACTACAACTGACTTCAGCCACAGCCTTAGATGAAATCAACTGAAGATAAAAGAGGACTAGGGATGGGGCCGATCCGATCCAGTATCGGTATCGGGACCGATACCAGCGTAATTCACGTATCGGTCACGTATTTTCCCGATCCAACCTGCGGAGATATCCGATATCCATGAGCCATGTCTGCGCTTTAACGTAGTCTGCTGAAACGACTCCAAAAGTGATTCCCGCGGCCCGCCGGCTAGTCTGCTAGCTGGCTGCAAACTGTGGAATGGATATCCTGAACGGAGGTGCGGCTCAATGAGACACGGTAGCTGCGTCCCAATGTGCATACTACGCCCTAAATAGTATTGAAAATTACTAATGTCACATACTATTTAGGATGGATAGTATGCACATTGGGACGCAGCTAGAGACCCCCCCTCAGGAAATCCATTCCGCAGTTTGCAGCCAGCTAGCAGGATAGCATTGAGCTGCCAACATGTTCGCTGTGTGGAAATCCTATGGTGGAAATACTTCACACTGGAAACACCACAGCAGAGCAAGACAGCAAAATGCAATGTTTGCAAAGCCGTATTAATTAAACCATTTGTCTGTGATGCATGTTTGCTATTCGCAGTCCAGAAGAGAAAGAGAGAGATCTCTCACGCGGTGCCACAGCGCGCACAACATGACAGCCCATCAGCATGATCGGTGATTGTTGTAAAATGCAGTCTCTACTGTTGCTAAATTGCGGGACGCTTTTAATAATAAAAAAAGCTATTAAAAGCACAAAAATCTGCGCAAGAGAAGCTGTTCCCGCGTCGCGCGCTCCGAAACAGACCGCAACGAGACAAGCACATTATACTTTGGGCTTCATATGCACGTCTAAACGATCAAATGTAGCCTACACAAAAATGTCAAAATGACCGGCTTGGAGATTCACTTAAACAGTTTGTCTAAAATGGACGTAGTTATGGAAATAGTTGGGAGAAAATATGGTGCACTCGTTCTTAAAGGGGGAGCAGTCTAATAAACATGCTGACGATTGCTCCATTACTGAGAATCAAACAACAAAAGGCAAAGAGAAAATCACTCACAGCTCTTGAATGAATAACTTTAGCTTTAATAAGCATAAATCTATCTATGATAAACTTTGCAGTGCTATTTTACTTTTGATTACTTTATTATAATTATTTTTAGACCATACCTGAATAATGTTAGTAGACCTTCCTGAAATTAAAGCACTGTGTAGTCCTGTATAATGTGTATCTTTGTTTAATTGTCTATCTTTTGTTTATATATTGTTTAATATATATATATATATATATATATATATATATATTGACATACATGCATACATACGTACATATCATACTTGCATGTAGAGAGGAGTTTATTTCAGCATCATATAAAATCAACAATAATGATAATAATAATATTAAAGCAAACACAGCTCTGGTATCGGAAAAGTATCGGTATCGGCCGATATCCAAATTCAGGTATCGGGATCGGATCGGAAGTGAAAAAATGTGGATCGGTGCATCCCTAAAGAGGACATTAAATATCTGAAGATCTCAGCAGAGGAGGATTAAACAACTCAAACAGCATTACCAGCTTCACTTATTACTAACCAGATTTACTTAATTTAATTTCCGTTTTAATGAAGTCAACAGTTGTATTTTAAGTCACCATGATGGTGGTCAGTGTTTGCTTTAGTTGGGCTCTTGACCCTTGACTCTTTAATATTAGATTTTCTCTGGTTGCTGTAATTATGTGTTTATAAAGCACATTAGTTGTAGCAAAAAAGCCAAGAGAAAATGAGATCAGGGGATGTTGGTCAGAGTCAGAGTTTGCGTGCAGGTGCTCAAATTTCCCGTCAAGTTTGTTTTTATAAATCGCAACTTATGCGTCGGAAGTGGCGTACGCCTCTTTCAGGGCCTGTTTTGTGCGAATGCAACGGTTATAAATGAGGCCCCAGAACCCTTTAGAAAATGAGAGGGGAGAACTGAATATGAGATGCACCAACATGGATCTGGGAATCTGAAGGATCTGGAGAGATTCTGTATGAAGGAATGGTCTCTGATATCTTGTCCGTTTTTCTCGACTATTATCAAAAAAGTATTTAATTAAAGGGTGCCAATAGTTATGGCCAACGTGTTTTGGAGAAAAACATTTATTTTATATTGTGATTTAAAATAACTTTAAATTCTTTTACTGCAATGAAAGGTTAGATTTTTGAGAATTTTTTGAATGAAAGATCAAAATGAAAAACAATGCAGATTTATTTTTATAGCCATCTTTGATCATATTGACCAGGGATGCCAATAATTCTGACCACAACTGTGTATGTATGTGTGTATATATATATATATATAGGCCTATAAATATAATTAATGTAGTAATTGTTAAATTGGTATTGGTATTACTCTGCAGTGGTAGATGGCATTTATATTTATTTATTTATTAGTTTTGCATATTGTGTAAATAAAAGTTCTGTCATAAGTTTTCCGTTTTGAAGCATGTGTGTGTGTGTGTGTGTGTGTGAATAAGAGGGAGACTGAGGGAGAAGGCAAAAAAGGAGGAGAAAAAAACTCCGTTTCAGATCATTGAACTGTATGAGGATTTTCCAGACGGTTTTATTGCATGTTCTTCTCTGCCCCGCCCTGTCACAGATATCATTAAAGAGCAGTCCAAAGAGCTGAGAGGCACCCAGAGACAAATCACCAGAGACAGATCTGCCCTGGAGAGACAGGAGAGGCAAATGGTAAGTGGAACAAAGCAGTTTCATATCTGTTAACTTCAACTCCCAACGTCCACCGCGTCCCTTCCAGCATCATGTGTCGCTGCTTGTGCAAGGTAGTCCCTCTTTGATTTTATTTTTATTGCTTCAAAGAATAAAGTAAGCTAATTAATACAGTTTTTGATCTTTCTGTTAGTTGCATTTAGAAAAAGAATAGAATAGGTGGCCTTTATAGCTTTAAGTTAAAGCGAATTGTTCATCGCTCAATACTCATGAGGATGACTTCAGTGTTCATGTCGTCCCTTTTAAAGCTCTGAAGAATCCAACATTTCCACTCACTCTCTCCATTTACGCTAATTGTTTCTATGTAAACATAGAAATGTGCATAATTGCCTCCCAAAAGGGGTTCTTTTTTCTTCATCTTTATTGTAATTAGACATGGTTTTGCTTTGTTATCTATTTCATTATTTTAAATGACCTATATTGAAAGATAGCTGCAGGGCGGTCATGAGCCGCTGCTTAAATTCCCCATTTACACTTACAGTGGCGTCCCAAAGTCTGAGAACACATTGAACATCTCGAATGCAAAATCTCACTTAACTGGAAATTTAAAGACAATTTTTATATGGTGGGTATATGATAAAAATTGGTAATAAAAATAAATAATCATATCACAATTTTTTTCCAGCCAGGATCACCATCCATGATCTTATCATGCTTGGCATGAAATGGAAGTTGTGATGATCTTTTCTTTCCTATTGTGATGTATATATGAGTGAAACAGCTTCTCGAACAAGAAAACATGTAGGGCGGGGCTTGATTTTGTCCATCGGAAACTGATTGGATGGTTGTGGTTTGCTATTGGACGATCTTATGTGAGTGACAGGTTGTCCCGCCCTCTAGCCAGTAAACACGTCATTAGAGAAGAGAAAAGACGTCGCTGCAAGAGGGAGGGGAATTACCGTATTTTGATTGAAGATTACGAAGACACAAAAAATAATGACATATATGGATAAATTAAAAAAATTATTATAATTATGTTTAGCCCTACAAAATAAACAAGAATGACAGATTATTTAGGCCAAAGTGGGGGTGGGTGATATGGAACAAATCTTATTAAACAACAGGAAAAATACAATAAAAGAAACATTTATTTGAACAAAATAAACTTAACAGTAGCATTTATGTAAGAAATTTTATAATAATGTAAAAAATAAAATACTGCATAGTCTTCACTGTATAAATTTAATATCCATTGATTCTTATTAATGCTACAAAAGTTTTCTAGTCAAGAGCAGTGAGTGATTTTCAGTGTTTGATAAACATTAATGACAGACAGCAGTAGGTATATTAGGCTGCTGTCACTTTAAGACCTAATGCACAGATTTAATATATTTACACATCTGATTTTCTCCCAGTTGTTTGTTCACTTAGTTAAAACATAACCAAGTGTGTCTTTGTAAACCTTTGTATTTAACAGTTTAAGCGCAATAAGACGCAAAAGACAACTTAGTTCATAACTTGCGCGCTGTGTGTCCTGAGAAAAATGCATGTGCTTGTAAAATCATTTGAAAGTTTTAACTGGCAGGGCTTTAAAGCACATGCAAATAATAAAATGTGCACTTCAGCACGATACTCTGTAAAGGCAGATTGTGGCGGCATTTTAATATTTCACAATCTAATTTCATCTATATCGCACACCCCTAACCCTGGCATCATATCCGTCAACTGCTGGATGAATAACTGAACTGGGTCATGCTTAGCATTATCTGTTCTCTGAAGGTAAGGGTTTTGTTTAGCACATCAGTCTGTCACTTTTATTCTAGTTTTTCAATCCATATTGCTGCCTAGTGGCTGACGTGACAATAAAACATCTCGAATAGATGCTTCAGCTCTGTCTCACTCAGCTCTCTGTACATGAATATTTATAATGATGGCATATCATTGTTATCATGGTGTAACAGTAAAAAAATGCCCCATTCCAGTCATATTTTGAAAGTGACAGACAGGCAAACATGGGCAATATTCTTAGAAGCTGTCACAAAATGCCATTGCGTGCTAAATTAGGACAGTGCTGCGCGCGCGTGTTTGTGTGTGTGTGTGTGTGTGTGTGTGTGTGGCGGCTTGCGTTTTGCTTATCAGGCATCATGTGAGGAGAGTGCAGCACCTGGACTAATGTGTGTCTCATTAGAGTTATTCTGTCTAATATGCCTGTTTAGCTGATCAGCATGTGTTTACCTGAGAGACTAACATTAGCACACAAGAGAAAACAGGATCTGCTGAGTTGAATGTTCGAAAGAATTGCCTGGGAGTCAGATTATGGGTTTAATAATGGCTATCTTAAAGGTGAAGTGTATCATTTCAACTTGTGGCACCAAACAGAATAGCAAAATTATATTTTATTACACAGCCCTGTGGGATACTTGATTCTGATTGGTCAGTCGCGCCATCCAGCGTCATGTTATTCCCCAATAACAACCTGCAAAAACTGATAACATGGGCTTGTTTTAAATGTATTTTAAAAAGTTTCAATATATTTGAAAATGTAATTTATCCCTGTGATGGCAAAGCTGAAATTATTTAATCTTTTATTATTATTATTATTTCACCTTTAATGGCCTCCATCAAATGATTATAACAGGTGCTTGTTAGAAAGGGATTTTTGTTTGAAAAAATGTTTTGTACACATGGTGTAGAAAGAGAGCTGTAAAATCATCAGCACTGCACATGAAGTTTGTTGGAAGGTTTTTGTAAGTGCAGCGAGTCTCGGCCTTGAATTCTGATGGGTCGCCCTCACTATCACACAGTATCTCTGCATACACAAACACACACTCACAGTCTCCCACACTGCATCTAATTGCTTGAAGCTCCTCGGGGCACAGAGCTGTTTTCAGACTTTTACTAATGTAAAGAAACGCAGACCTCTGGGTCCAAACAAGTTGTTATGGTGTGTGTGGTGCTTCACAACATCATGAACATCTCTTGCCTTGTCTGGGTACCTTGTTGTTCTGTCCTAGAAGTGAAAAACCAATTTTGTTCCTATTAAACGCCCCATCGTTGATGTCTTTATTCTTACCAGGAAATGGAAATAAAAAAAATGGCCAAAACTGGAAACCGAGAAGCCTGCAAGATACTAGCCAAACAGCTCGTACAGCTTAGAAAACAGAAGAACCGAACCTACGCCGTAAGCTCTAAGGTCACGTCCATGTCCACGCAGACCAAGGTCATGAACTCTCAGATGAAGATGGCTGGAGCCATGTCTACCACAGCGAAGGTAAGCACACCTCCCAATGGATCTGCATGACTACTGATTCAGTTTTTCCATTGCTGTCCATGGAGGACCTTATTGTCATCACGATATCCCCTTCAAGATTCCCAGTTCTCCCCCACCCACTGATGACGGCTCTGTGTTATTCACATGAAGCCCGATGTGTTCCCGGGAAGTGCTGGAAAAACAGAATCCCTTATGTAGCAAAGAACTTCAAAAGAATCCTTAAACAGGGTTTAATTACCATGTTGTTGAGGAGCTCCTTACTTCACTGGTCTCATTGTGACCCAGTTTTATAGTTTCTGCTCTACTTTTATAGAGATCTCAAATCTCACATTCTCTGTGTATTAATTCACACTGTCCTCATTATCGTTCATTTAGAGTTTTTCCCATGATGCTTGTACAAAATAATAGGAGCCATGTTGTTGTCGTATGGAGCCTATGGAGCTTTCTTTTGGAGAAAATTAATAAAGTAGCACACACACACACACACACACATATATATATTTATAAATATACACATTGCAGTGTATATGGTCTTAAGCAAGCTTAAGTTTGTTTTTTAAGGACTCGTAGACCAGAAAAAGCACCTTGTGAATAAATTTTTTTGCTTTTATTAATTATAAGATAATTTAAGCAACTCCTGATTGAAAAGTAAACTAAAGCTTGTTTTAAATACATTATAATTTTTTTTACATAAGAGTGTTTTGCTCTAAAATGGGTTGATTGGGATGGTTTTAATTAGAAGAGATCATTTTAAAATGCGCTTATAAGAGCAGAATAGCATCTTGATACCAGTGTTATTTTAGTATCATTGAGATACTACTATATTGTTTTTATATATTTTTTTTTTATTTTTTTTTATTTTTGGTTAAACTTTTAGTAATTTTGTTGTCTTTTTTCTATTATTATTATTATTTTCTAATATGTATATATCATTTTATTTAGTTATATTTCAGTTTTTGTTATTTTAGTTCATTGAGTTGGGGCAACTAGATGAAATAATTATGTTTGCGTTTTTTTAATTTAAATATTCTATTTTATTTCACGTAATGTAGTTAATCGTTAATATATTTAATCATCTACCTACCTAGCCTAATTGGTACATTTCAAATGTAGCATGAGATGGGGGTAGGTTCATTTATTTTACCTCTGGAGACACTTATTTCGTTGAATAAGAAAACAATTTCACAGTCTGCACTTCTAATGCACACACTTCACAAAGCATGTCTTATCTTTACCAATCACTACAGGCATGTCGCATCATCACATAAAATGCAATTTCAGCCAATTAAGTTCAGTCTCTGACTACTCATTGATGGGGTGTTGTTCTTCTCACACATTTGCAAGCCGCTCCTGTCCTCGCACGAAATATTCATTGTGTGTGTATCCGTCCAATCTATATTGTATGAGGAAGGAAGCTATTAATATTTCCTCACCCGGCTGCATATGGTGGTATTTGTAGTCAATCATAAGGAGGTAGCTGGTGTAATAGATATGAGATGGGTGATAATGAGGCTGTGTGTAAATAATTCTCTGTAATCAGATAGGACTCTTCCTGTGTGTCTGCCCTGCCACAGTGCCAGAGACCCAGAGGGACAGTAAAACAGACTTCTCTCCACGCGACCTATTTTTATGTTCTGTGTCATCTACTTACTGTACTCCCCCTCCTCACCAAATGGTGTGATGTCGAAATTTATGTTGAGCTGCATTCAAAATGTATTCGTCCGTGTTGGATTTTTGTCAGAGCTTGTGTTATTTTTATTACCGTTTTGTGCATCGTAAGGATGCTCTATTTATTCTCCGGGAACGTGATGGATTGCTTGAACTCTTTCTGTCTCTTAGACTATGCAGACTGTCAATAAAAGATTGGACCCCAAGAAGACGCTACAGACGATGCAGGACTTCCAAAAGGAGAACTTCAAAATGGGAATGACGGAGGACATGCGTAAGTTTCAAGTGGTTCTGAAATGATGGAACTGTTCTGGTTGGTTTTTAGCAGTGCAAAAACTATGCTAAATGATATCCGGACTATGTATGATTATTGTACATGGTGAGTTTCGGTGTACTTTGACTTTCAGAATCATCAGGAGAGCAAAACAAATAGGCTTGTCAGCACTTCCCATATTTCATTTTACATCAAATGCCAGGTGTCCAGTCAAGTTTGAGACTAATTATTTCGTTCACTTGGTAGAAGCAGCCAAATTACACAAGCGCCAACTTGGACAGGCTGTGTGACATGCCCTCGTCCTCAAAAACCATTATAAAACTGCATTAAGTAAAAGAACATATGAATAGGACAACGTTAAAACTGGCTCATTTTACAACAAGGACATGGTTTGTGCACACAATGAGTTCTGTGCTTTGAATTGTTGGCAATGAAATCATTGAAATTCATTATTGTCCAATTAACAATTTTGGCACTGTTGACTCACGACTAGTTTTGAGGAACTAGACAATGCAAAAATGAAAGTCAACATTGTTGGCAAACACTGCAAATCTAGACAGGAAGAGATGATATGACCACTCTGTAAAGAGACCAACCACAGTTTATTTTATTTTTATGTGCCGTTTAAGGCGAATTGTACAGAAATCACTGGAAAAACTGAGGAAAGTGTGTATAGATAAACAATAACTTATTGGGAAAATAAATAGTTCCTCAGGATATTGAATTTATTAGTTAAAAATGTATCTTCAAACAAAACTCTTAAAAACTTTATCAATGATTTGATGCCCCAAACCTGGCAAACTCTGTCCTCAGAAGCTCTCTTTCAACCCGATACCTTGTAAACCGTCTTTGTTTCCATGATCCTAGAGGAAAACCAGTTGAGAATCACCAGTCTAGATTATTCTGTCGACTTTCACCAACTTGTACAAATTTCTGTCCTCAGTCAACGATACACTGGATGAGATTTTTGATGAATCGGGCGACGAGGAAGAATGCCAGGACATCGTGAACCAGATGCTGGATGAGATCGGCATAGAGATCTCAGGAAAGGTAAGATTTGACTTTCTTTTTGTCCACCCTGTTTTCGGGACAGCCCCAGCGGCTGCTTCCGGCAGATGGCTGGACTCTGGCTGTGCCTGTGATTACTGTAGGCCTTTCTTTAGATTCATGAGATGCAGAATCATCGTATCTGATTGCAGCAGATGTGTATTCCCTTGGGCCAAAACGTAATTCTCATATTAGCATATTCCACAGATTCTTTGTCCTGTTTTTCCCAAATAAAGTGATCGGGCTGTTGTAGTAGAACATTTGGCAGAAACAATGATCATATTTGATTGGTGCTACATCTATTCCCCAAAACAACAATTACACGGAGGCTTATGCTGGGAGAGTTTTAGCACCAGGTGATCTGTGAAATCTGAAGTTTTACTGCTCTAATAAACTATTGTTTCCGCAGATGGTAAGAGCCCCGTCAACAGGAAAGATCCTCCCTGGCGCCTCCCCAGCAAAGTCTAAAGCGGCCACCATTTCAGACGCTGAGATCGAGAGACAGCTGAAGGCTCTGGGAATGGACTAAATCTCTTCACCCTCCACACCTGTGCACCCACTGCCAACAAAGAAAGACTGAGTTCATAGTGGGAACGGGGAGTGTCCAAGTAATAAATGAAGGGAAGATGTCAAGAAACATACTCTTGTTGGAGCATCGCAATGAGTCACTGGATTGGATTCATTGGTCAGATATATACAGCAGATCACGGTCTAGATGTTTTGACAAAATGCGCACTCAAACTGACATACTCTCCAAATCTGCTGCGCATAGTGTAGGGTTTAAAGGCCAAGTATCTAATTTTGTGTCACTAGTGGCTCCAAATGGAATTGAAGTGTTTTGTTTTAAACAGCATGACTGGCACAACATCATCTCAACCAATAGTGTGAGCTTGGGGCAGGGCTATCTGTTTGGGCAACCAATGGCAGATTGAGAGGGGAGGGGTTAAAAAGTCAATGGGTGTGTTCAAATCGAAGCGGACCAAGTCGAACATTCCTAATGGCTGCTTTCGAAATCGTATACTTCACCAAGTAGTAGTATGTGAAAGGAGTAGTATGTCTGAAGTTTTCATGAAACAGTAGCCAAAAAGTACTCTGATGACCTACTACTTCCTTCGACAATCACATCACAATTTCAGTGTCTGAAATCTCATACTGTACAGTAGGTACTACATTTGGTTTGAAACTTACTTTGCGACCGTTAAAAAAGTATGTTTTATATAGTATGAATATGTTTAGTATGCAGTGTTGGGGGTAACTCATTACAAGTAACTTGAGTTACGTAATCAGATTACTTTTTCAAGTAACTAGTAAAGTAACGCATTACTTTTAAAATTTACAACAATATATCTGAGTTACTTTTTCTAATAAGTAACGCAAGTTACTTTGTTTTCCCCTTTATTGACTGACAGCTCTTCTGTCCTATTGTTGAGACAAATCGAAGTGCAGAGGCGTTGTGTGTAAACATGATGGTTATTATAGTTCTAGAATAAATGTAAGCGTGGATTTACTCATCTCACTTGCACAAAAAAGATTCAATATTCCTCAAAATGAATAAAATCAGTGAAATGCAGAATCAGAACACTATGCAAACCTCCAATACCTAAATATGTTAAATAAAACAAAACATTTTTTATGCATTTAATCTTTATTGACCAAAGTACTTGCTTCTGACCTCCGATTTTTCAGTTAAACCATAAGCAACAATGACTATAGATTTTTTAATATGTTTTTATTGGTAAAGTAAGTGTTAAATTTGTTTCTCCTGCATCCTCTTCTTCTGTTACCCAGAACAGCAGCAGCTGAAAGGTTTGTTTGAGCGGCGCCCTCTACTTAACACTACTGTACTCTACTGTACAGGAGTAAATCTGCATTTCCTTCAGTCTGAGGCTTATTATTTCACTTTTGGTGTGAAAAGGGTCTTTACATTTGCCCAAAAATATATATTTTTTGGTATAAAAAAACAAGCCCAGCCCAGGTGGAAAAAAAGTAACGCAAAAGTAACGTAACACATTACTTTTCTAAAAAAGTAACTAAGTAACGCAATAAGTTACTTTTTAAGGGAGTAACGCAATATTGTAACGCATTACTTTTCAAAGTAACTTTCCCCAACACTGTTAGTATGAATGAAATTCGAAATGAATGAAATGTGGGTAACGCTTCCTTTTACAGTCCTGTTACCCATGTACTTACTATGTACTTATTATAGTAATTATAATTACTGGGTAATAACTAGGTACTAACCCTGAACCTACCCCTAACCCATGTACTTATATTATATTAGCCAGTACTTCTGTATACTGTATTCAATTTCAGACGCAGCGAATGACAACATTGCGAAATAAGTACATGGTGAATGTGTTCTTACTACACATTCATACTACATAGAATGCACTTTTTTAATAGTCGCGAAGAGTTTACTTGTTCAAAAGAAGTACCTCACTCAGAGAGTATGCGATTTCGGGGACAGCCATTATTTTTGTTAATCTGTTTGATGCCACAAATATTACACACCTCACTTTTAACTTAAAGAGTGCTATTACTGTGGTAACAAATTGTCCTTTAAATGCACACCAACATTGGACGATTTTGGAACTGCATGGGATTCCTATGTGTTCTAGGGCTAATCATCTCAAATACGTGTCATGTTATTAAAAGATGCTCATTACGTGTATTTTTATGTCTTTTTAGGTTGTTTATGACTTAAGGAAGTAAGTGAAGGAATACAGTTTCCTTCGCAGTGAGGTTTGGTATAAAATCCGTATTTCTTACACTTACATACAAACATATCATGCATGAGAATATTTGTTGATATGATAATGATAATGTGATTTAATCTTATCAACCTTGAAACAATTCAACCTTTAAGAGCATTTAACTGTTGAGTGATGATTTGGGAAGGTAAAACAAATTGTAGTTCCATAATGGTCACATTTAAACTTGAACGATGCGCAATATATCGTGTCATGGAAATGTATCGTGAAACATATCGTCATGGAAACATATCGTGTAATGGAAATGTTACATTTTTCAGGTGTTGCGGAGAAATAAATCAATGCTGTGAGTTCAGTTTTCATAGAGTTTAAATTCATACTTTAATATAATTAGGGTCTACATATGCAAGGCTGTCGTCTGGAAGTAACAACCAATAACTTTACCTTGGACCCCATGATTGGAGGTGCCCACTAATGTCCTGTGACAGGAATGGGCAACTTTGGTCCAGGAGAGCCACTCTTGAAAAATCTAAGCATATTCTGTGTACACTTCAAAGTTCCTTTATGAACTGATCACTAAAAGTTTCTATGGGGAACCAAAAAATGGTTATTCTATGGCATCATTGCAAAATTCCCCTTTTGGAACCTTTATTTGTAAGAGTGGGATAGTAGAAAGAGCTAACCATGGTGAAATTGTAGTTGATTTACGTCTGGAACACACCGCATGACTTTTGTGCAGATTTGTGCCAGGAGTCGACGCTAGTTGCTGAAAGTCAAAGCCAGTCTGTAGGCACTTAATCCTCTCCCATTGAAACACGTTGACTGTGTTGGATTTTGCAGAAAATCGTGTGCAAACTCTGCTTGACACTCTAATTCCATCTATTTCCATCCATGTTTGATATTCTGAGCTGATTTTACAACACAAATTTGTTTCCAGGCAAATGTTTCATAGCGAATTGAACGTCTGGTAGTGTGTGATCCTCAGTCGTTTAGTGTATGATGCCCAGTTTTCTCTGTAACCATATAAAAAGTCTGCAATAATGCCTAGTGTTTTGAAGTCTGTTCATATTTTAAAAGTCGTATAGTGTATTCCAGCCTTTAGGAGAACTATTGTATCAGTTTTTCTTTTCAACTTCATCTGTATGTACTTCTCGGCACGGTTTAAAAAGGTTCTTTCATTCTAACCAACACCGTGTGTGTATATGAATGTACAGTTTATGCTTTGATTTGATTTTCTAATTAATAAAGTACCTTCATATTTGTGAATAACTGGTGTTTACCATGTATTTCAGCAGTTAACAATCAGATCTTTTGTACAATCATTAAAATGCCAACTAAAAACAAGAGGGGTGGCCCGTACTGAACTGTTAAACGGTGGGAAACCTTTAAGCTGAGTGTTATGAACCTTACAATTGTTCTAATGGCCTTTTAGAGCATTTCATATTTCATTAAATTAGACGTCATTATTCATAATCATAATGGATCATGATTTTTAAATAAGGTCTTAATGAGTTTATCGAGTGACCTTTCTTAAATCAACCAGGGTGCAGTCCATTAATTTCAAAGTAATTTAATGAGGTATGGATGTGTAACCGCTGCAAGCGTTCCTGCTGGACTGGAATACACACAGACAAATCCAACGTTTTATTGTTTTCTCAGTGATCATATTTATGTATGATATACACTGAAAATGTCAAACCCTGTCAACATTATCCCAGAGTATACTGTATTTATTGCATTATTAGGTCATATGGGGTGGTTAGGGATGTGTTGCTGACACAGTCAATGGCAGGAGATGATGATCATATAGATCATCACACATATCTCTCTGCTGAGAGCGGTTGTGTGCTACCTCATCATAACACTGTCAGGAACAATGCAATACTGTAAATAATCCCTCAGTAAAACCCAGTAGGGCTCTGATCATACCACATTAAACTAACACGCGCCACATATACGCACATGATAGATGCTCAATTCCCTCCCATCGGAATGATGTTTGATTATGTTTAATAATCTGAATCACAACACTTACCATGTTGTTACGATTCATGCGAAGCATGTAATTCCCATAACAATGCCCAGATTTTCGCAGAGCAGCTAATGACTTGCAGGATCTTATAATAATATGACAAACCAAGCATGACCACAATATTAGTCATTTATTTAGGACAAATTCATCATTTCTATACAAATAACGTCCAAAAAAAATAACGTCCTCTACAGTGCAATGACACATTTCCAGGATGTGTTTTCAGTTACGTTTGTAGAATATTTGCATATTTTGCTAATACAATCAACTTTGATTGGAATGTATTTAAATATATGAATGGTGAATAAATTATTTCAACAACATTAAAAAGTAACAAGATGCTATTTTAGTACTTTTAATGTAGAAACCATTAACAAGAAAGGTGTTAAAATGTATTTGACCAGCTGAAGGGTGCTGCTTAAATGATCTTATAATTCATAAAGGCAATAAATAAATATAAACAATAATATAAATAAATTCAAATGAAATAAAATAGAAAGTTGGCATACCTAAAAAATCTATAAATGGCATTGCGTTATATAACACAATATCAAACCAACTGGCATTTATTTTCAAACTAGAAAAAAATGTCACAATTTAAATGATAATAAAACTGGATATATAATATTAAGAGAAAGTAGGCTATTGTGACATTTATAAAACATTAAAGGATCATAATCATACAGTAGTTAATGTGATGAATTACATTCTGAACTGTTTCAAATGAGACCAAATGTTTCGGAAGGTCATGGTGTGTTAGCAGATGTCATTTGGTTGGATATTTGGATATCTATGAGATAACATTCAGACATTTTTAAAAATGTTCAAACTCTTTTTTGGGGTCCCTGTATTAAATCACTATCAAATCAAACCCACTCACTGCCAAAGTCTGGTGTGTGTATTCTTGCCTGTGGATAATAATCCCATCCCAGCAGAGCATCTGGAGACTCTGGTTCTTCAGGGTCTACAGGCTGCCGTCTCTTTGGCCATGAACGAGCTGTGGTGTAGGCTGGTTTTCACCCTCTTCTCCCTCTGCCGGCGGTTACAGAACCACACGCGGACCACCTCCTTCTCCAGATGGAGACCCTCCGCCATTCGCACGATCTCCTGAGATGATGGCTTACTCTTCTCCACGAAATTTCGTTCTAAGGCTTCCTTAGCCCCGAGACTGAGAGAGCAAATTAAGAATTAATTAGGCATTAATGAGAGGGGAGATGCTGATATAATGGGTTTTGTTTAGTTCGAATTCCCCATTTACCTGATGGTTGTTCTCCGTTTCCGTTTACGCTCATGCATGCCCATCTTCTCATTAAAAAGAGCTGATGGGAGTCGCAAATTAGAGCTAAGCAATCTTAAGTTTTCTTTCAAAACTCAGGGATAATGGCATGGTGGTGGTAAATACATATATAAATAATCCCACTGAGGAGCGTTGCTGACTCACCGCCGGCTTGCTCGGCCTCCTCCAGCCACTTTGCCAGGATGGATTTGAGCTTGCAGGCGTTTTTGAAGCTGAGCTGCAAGTTCTCGAAGCGGCAGATGGTGGTTTGGCTGAATTCAGAGCCGTGCACAGCCGCCAGTGCTTCACCCACATTGGTCTGTGTGTAACCTGCCAATCGAAGCTGAAAGTTAGGAAAAGTCTTGCTAGCAAAGCCTTGTGGGAAAGAATGTGCGGTTGGTTGTACTGAATGTGCACTTGTAGAGTACTTCAGATCTTAAAAGCAGCCTGTATTTTTAACGGTACTTGCAGATAATATAATATTAATGGAAAAGAAGGTCACTAAAGGGTTAGTTCACCCAAACTAACATTAAAATGAGTCATGTGTTGTGTTGATGCGAGAGCAGACGCTGCATGAACGAGAGATCAGTGGTCGGAGATTCATATTTTTTAAAATAAGTGGTAGGCCTAAATTATGTTTGTTTGTTTTTTGCACAAACAAAGCACTCACGTCGCTTCATAAAATCGAGGTTAAACCACTGGAGTCACATGGATTACTGTAATGATGCGTTTACTACCTTTCTGGGGCTTGAAAGTGGTAATTGCGTAGGCTTATAATGGAGGGACAGAAATCTCTCAGATTTTATTAAAAATATCTTAATTTGTGTTTTGAAGATGAACGAAAGTCTTACGGGTTTGGAACGACACGAGGGTGAGATTTAAAAGTAAAGTTTAAAAATCTTTAAAGTGAAATCAAAATGGAATTTTTTTGGTATTTCGTATGAATATGTTACCCTTACTGTTATCTATAAGCTAGTGTGTTTCAAAACAATGACAAAAAATTCGCATTTAGAAGATACACTTTAAGCGTTCAAAACTTGGATGTGGATCAATATGGATCAATGATCGTGATGACATCACTCTGCACTTCAGCTTCTCATCAGATTTTCTGGCCAATCAAATGCTCTCTAGAATTTGAAGCATCCTGATACATTATAAATAGACGCTGAAGCTGTGGCTAAAATTGGTCATTGGTTCACTCATTTACTATTTTCTACATGATAAATAGCACATAATGCACTATAGGGAGTATAAAGATGCTTTCCGTTGGGGCGAATTAAGTCTGGTTTCATGTTATTGTCACGAGAATACGAGAGCACGGAGCGGATCATATGCGCGAGTCCAAAAATGTCTCAGACCCATTTGAATGCTGTATTTTAAAGCGACATTATTTTAAAGAAACGGTTAGAGATTAGAAGGAAAATAAGCCTTTGCCGAGCTCAACGGCTCTGGCTATACGCTGATTTCACGCAGCCGCCATTTTGAAATGGCTTCGGTGGGAAGAAAACCGGAAGTGTCGCCTTTAATCATAGGAGAGTCGCGAATGCGATGGCGTATTGTTGTGTTTAATGTAGAAATTAGTTGTTCTAAAAATGTACAGTACATTTAGACTATATACAGTGAAATTCATTTATAAATAAAATGTTTTTTTATATATATATAATCCAGAACGTAAAAAAAGAAGCAGGAACGAACTATATACATATCCTATATTGGATATTAACATCCAATAGTGTAAATCGCGGCAGCAGCTTCAGGTTGGTAGTCCAAGGCACTGTTGTCTATCTGTACTTCCAGGGTTCTTCCCACCGGAGCCTCGCTTTCGATTTCAAAATGGCGGCTGCGTGAAATCAGCGTATTGGCACTTTTTTTTAAAGGGGGAGGAGCAATGATATGCCCTGCCCTGTCTTCCTATTTCAGAGGAAATTACTTTTACAACTGATTTTAAAACTCTAATGTGTTATGCTTACATTTACAATTTTAATTGTACTAAATTGCAACTTCACCATTACAACTGTGTTTAGTTCACACTTATGTTATTCATTAAGAATTATTTTTATATATATTAGCAACAGTTGAGTTAATGAATGCATCATTCAGGTATTTGAAGTGCAATTTTCAGTGTGAACACACCACTCATTTACACTACAAAATGACAGAATAGTGCATAAGTAGGCCTACACGACCATCACAGAAATAACTTTATCTAATATCAACTAAACTGTTTTGATATAAACTAATCAAAATACGTTGCTTACAAAGTTTATATGGGAAACGAGTTTCAACACGGTCCAGTTTAAAAGACAAACCTAGTTTGATCCTCCTCAGTTTGAAGTCATTAGCAAACTTCTCCAGTTCCCGGATCTGAGGCGAGTCCATATCGGGGGGCTCTTCCAGGGGCCGGCTTTTCCTGCGCAGCTCCTGCTTGATGTCCCCTAGAGAGGGCTCATCCGTGAGCAGGGCCTGGGGCAGCGGCTGGAAGCTGTGGGTCAGAGCACACGAGCCCCCGCCCAAACCGTGCTCGGGGAACTTATAGAGGCGTGGAGCCAGAGCTCCTGCGGGACAGCAGGACAGACGTGAAGCAATAATGACTCTTCATATCTCAAACAGGACATCAGTTTTTTCCAACGACTACAAAGGAAAACTGTATTGTGAATTAATTTATTTTCTAAACACCAACAGATTCATTCAGCCAAATCCTATTTTTTATAAAGCTTTATAATGTGCATGGGGTACTCCTTAGACACTTTTTTTCTTTTCTTTTTTTGCCATATTTATGTTAGTGAGATCTGTCTGGTGTTGAGGTAATTGCTGTTATGCAGTGCATTTTAAAAATGAATGTGTTATGAAAATGATATAATAAAGTGCTGGCTTTAGGAATGTTATTGGAATATCTAATTGGAACGTGATATTAGGGACAGTGATTTGATAATAAAGTAATAAACTCCTGTAATATTTCTTAATAAACTGCAAGTGATTACCTCTGATTCACCCTCAATTAATTGTGATATTGTGATGATTTTCATATTTATATATATAGTACCGGTCAAAAGTTTGGAAACATTACTTTTTTTAATGTTTTTGAAAGAAGAAGTCTCTTATGCTCATCAATCCTGCATTTATTTGATCATAAATACAGAAAAACTGTAATATTGTGAAATATTATTACAATCTAAAATAATGGTTTTCTATTTTAATATACTTTAAAATATAATTTATTTATGTGATTTTTAACGTTTTAATATACTGGGGGGTTTTGTTGTTGTTGTTTTTTTTTTTTATTTACTTTTATTCATCAATGAATCCTAAAAAAAGTATCACAGGTTCCCAAAAAATTATTAAGCAGCACAAACTGTTTCCAACATTTATAATAAATCAATATATTGAAATGACTGAATTCTGACACTGAATTCAGCTTTGCATCACAGAAAAAAACAAAAAAAAACATATTTTAAAGTATATTAAATTATTTTAAATTGTAATAATATTTCACAATGTTGTTGTTTTTCTGTATTTTTGATCTTACAAACGTAGGCTTGATGAGCATAAGAGACTTTTTTCAAAAACATTCAAATTAGTAATGTTTCCAAATTACTGTAGCCTATTAGTTAGAGGCTAATGGGAATATAGGAAAAACTCTTAATATGTCGGAGGCTTTACACTTTCTATCTTTACAATAACAATAAATGGATCTGCATCTCCCTCTAGTGGCGGGAACTTTTCAGTGCATCACGTGCCACTGTATTCAGATTTGGGCCTCGGTTAAATTCAGTGGTGGATATTTCTAATTACACAGCACATGAAGACATTTTATAGGTAATCAAATACACTGTCATGAGCTTTTTTTAGCACTAAGGATCTCTTCTATATTCAGTACTGAAAATAACTGTTATTTCTTGCTACAAACACTAGATGGAAGCACAAACAAAAGGAATCACCTAATGTAAATGCTCTCCTGGAGGCAGAACGGCACCACACGCGCTGGAGTTATTGTCACTGGTAACTATTTTTATTCTGTTTTTAGCCTAAATGATTTATTCTGACTGACTTTGAACTTTTAAGACCTGTGCGTGTGGCTGTTCTGTTTCTCGACAGA